CGTCAACTCATGGGCTCTTCTTGTCTGATAGACTAGAGGGATGGCAGCTGGTCAACAACATACATCGTCAACTCATGGGCTCTTCTTGTCTGATTGAATAGAGGGATGGCAGTTGGTCAACAACATACATCGTCAACTCATGGGCTCTTCTTGTCTGATTGAATAGTGGGATGGCAGTTGGTCAACAACATACATCATCAACTCATGGGCTCTTCTTGTCTGATTGAATAGTGGGATGGCAGCTGGTCAACAACATACATCGTCAACTCATGAGCTCTTCTTGTCTGATTGAATAGTGGGATGTGACTCTCACTCTTATAACACACCAACAGCTCAAAGTGCTGAGCGCGTTTTTTTATGCCAACGGGTTGCGAACCGTGAATCCTCGATCCCTGAAATAATTACATATATTTAGTGCTGTCCCTATATTGTTACTTGTTACTATATTATTACGTTATTAATGACTGTTTATTCTTTATGTTTTCAGGCTGTACAAAGGTTTATACAAAAAGCAGTCATCTGAAGGCCCACCAGCGTATCCACACAGGTATGTGTTTCGTGTTTCCAGATAATCCTACTTCTCTTTTCCAGTTATTTAGAAGAAATTGACTACTTCTTGTTATGAAATTTAACTAAGGACGTTACTGACGTCATTTCTTACACCTCAACTGGAGGCTTCACTTCTACTAAATAAATGCTTTATAGTTAGACAAACACCTTAAAATAAACAAAAACAATTTTGGATGAATTTTATTACAAGTTAGAGTGTTTACAGTGAGTACGAGAACAGGTACAACATTTCGATCACTGGTGCGATCATTCTCAACTACACAAGTTTTTTAAAAGTTTTAATTTCATTATCTCGTATCTTACAAAAGACAGCTAAGCCTAATGTTACCAATAAACAACCTAAGCCTAACCGAAATAATCTGCCTATGTTATGGCGAGACAGGAAAGGAGAAACTTATATTATTACAAAAACAACTGAAATTGATGAATGTGATTTTAAGCTTAATCTTTCTAAAAACTTGCAAAACAGAAAAGTTGACACCAACCTTCTTAAAAATAAAATTGAACCTTTAGCCTAACCTAAAAATTAACCGTTAAAATTTGGGCACTAGAGAATGACCGAAATGTTGTACGTGTTTTAAAAGCAAATTTTATTTACTGTAAAAGCTGTAACTTGTAATAAAATATACTTAATCGGTAAGTAAACTCAAAACGAAACTATGAATTTTGTAAAATTTACATTTTTTAAAAAAGTTCCTCGAATTTTGGTGAAATTCATGTAAATTAAAATTTTTCTCAGATTTAATAATTTCGTAAAAATATATTTTTTTTTGTCTGGCATAACTTCCGAACGATAAAATCCTGAGTTGAAACGTTAGAATCTTTTAAATAATATTGTATTTTAGTGTTTAAACATTGCAATATATATCCTTTGTTTCATCGGGAGAAACACTTGACGTTCTAATTATTTTCTCTAATTGACAGTTGACAATTAAGTAAAGCAACAAAATAATTGAGAAACACGAGTGGTATTTTTGGTACTTTCTTACTTTCATTAATTGTTTGTTTTTTCTATGAAGTTTTAGTTTTTATCATATATATTTCACCTTTATGAAGTACAGAGACGATTTATGTTATCTCCCTGTTTTGGCGTTCTCCAATCTCGGTAATTTCCACCCCCTCCCAATGAAAATTTCAAAATTAGAGGTGGCGAAGTTTGTAGAGCAAGATATTGTGTTTGGTCTGATCCCGAAGATCGATAAAAGTGTGTAACTTAATTCAGCTCGGAGTGTTGAGAGATCATTCGTATGGATAGCCGGAGAGAGAGAGTGTCACAGCCAGCCAACAGTCCGGATAGCTTCGGCCATGAAGATGAGAAATGGTTAGTGTCACCCAAGTTGTGTGATATTTCTTGGCCTCGTTTTCACTGCGCAACTCGTTAAACGACGAACGTCAATAAGTTAGCTGTCTCAAATTTAGAGCGCCTTCAGGCGTTCGTATTGCACGTGCCGAACTGCTAGGTACAAGAGCATATATTGCCCGAAGGGTTTCTTATCTCGCCTGGAATGCCTGTCTTGACCTGCAATAGTACGAATAACAGTCATAACCGCTACGCATTGAGGCGTACAAGCGGGAGAGTGATAGGCCGACCATAAAACGAAACAGCAGGGAGGTGAAGTCGTTTATCAGGGTGAATTAGAGAAGGACAAAGTTTTGTCTTCGTCGCTGTTTGTCATTAGGTGCTAGTTCCAATCTATATATATATATGTTACCTCTATCCCCTCATTTAGACCTTGTATTGGCATTTCCTGTCGTTTGTCAAGTCGACCTGCAACGTATCAATCTACAGCGATTGTGGGGTCGTTACAACCCAGACCTCATGGGCTCAGATGACCCGCCAGTGAACGGGAAAGACAAACCGACAGAATGATGGATGTAAATGTATTGAAGTTGTAGAAACTGTGTAACAAATATTGATGTACCAAACCTTCATATAATGTAAAAATGAAAATCTAAACTTTACTTGTTTGTTAGCACAATCCACCACTTCAGTAATGGCAGGAAAATTACTCTTTTGTCCTTATCAGCATTATAAGGTGATGTAACAGTTTTACATCATTGTAACAATGATGTAACAGTTTCACTGGATAACTCTTGTCATCATTGTTACACTTATGTAGCAGTTTCACTGGTTAGCCCTTGTTCATCAGTTACACTTATGTAGCAGTTTCACTGGTTAGCCATTGTCATCACTGTAACAGTAATGTAGCAGTTTCATTGGTTAGCCCTTGTTCATCATTGCTACACTTATGTAGCAGTTTCACTGGTTAGCCCTTGTCATCACTGTAGCACTAATGTAGCAGTTTCACTGGTTAGCCCTTGTCATCACTGTAACACTGATGTAGCAGTTTCACTGGATAGTTCTTGTCATCACTGTAACAGTGACGTAACAGTTTCACTGGATAACCCTTGTTCATCATTGTTACACTTATGTAGCAGTTTCACTGGTTAGCCCTTGTCATCACTGTAACAGTGATGTAGCAGTTTCACTGGATAACCCTTATCACCACTGTAACAGTTTCACTGGATAACCTTTGTTCATCATTGTTACACTTGTGTAACAGTTTCACTGGATAATCCTTGTCACCACTGTAACAGTGATGTAACAGTTTCACTGGATAACCCTTGTCACCACTGTAACAGTGATGTAACAGTTTCACTGGATAATCCTTGTCATCACTGTAACAGTGATGTAGCAGTTTCACTGGATAACCCTTGTCACCACTGTAACAGTGATGTAGCAGTTTCACTGGATATCCCTTGTCATCATTGTTACACTTATGTAGCAGTTTCACTGGTTAGCCCTTGTCATCACTGTAACAGTGATGTAGCAGTTTCACTAGATAACCCTTGTTACGTATTACAATTTCAAATAGCCTGAAATTGTAATTTAGATTTATTAGTTAAATAAATGCCGATATGTATCCAATTTATGATATTTGCCAACAAGATTAATACACACGGTTTGCTTTTTTAATACAAATATGTTTTAATAACAAAGCTACAATACAATTTATAATAACAGTTATTACAAATAGTTATTACAAACAATGACTTATATACAAAAGTTTTAAAAACTTACAAACAATATAAAGTCTTCTTTCTGGTCTGGAATTTCCTTGATGTCTTATCAAGGGTTCACGATGAGCGAGTTAATTTCGAGTTGACGTAGGTACAATTCACTTAACGGAAAACTAGTTAGTTCTATAGTATTCATTGATCACACGCCGATTTTTTCTACCAATGACGTTAGGTAATGTTTTCGTAAAAGTACTAATGTCCGATGTGAATCCATTGAAGTTAATGGTTTGTAATGTTCGAAATTTATAAATGTTCGTGGTCAAATATCTGAACTGTCCCGATTGATAAGCGTTATAACAATCACAGTTATAGCTTCCGAAGTTTATAGTATACCAACTATAGTAAACCAATAATACATATTCTTTTTTTTTGGCGCGTCGCGTTGGTTATATTTATAGGCGTGTGGATAGTTTCGCGAAACTTCAGCTTACGTAACAATACTAACACGCCACACTAGCGTTTATGTACACACACATATATTGTTGATTCTTACACTCGAGAATGTTCTACAACTTTAGAGAATAGGCGGGAGTTTCGCAATACAGATTTAACAGTATAGGTTAATTTAATTTAAACAAACGTCGATATTAAAACAAATATATAATAGTAAATCCGTCACACCCTTGTCATCACTATAACAATTTCAAAATGATTGAGACGATGCTTTACATGAACGATGGTTGTCTTTATAGGTTGTTTGAGCGTTTTTTTTTTGTGTTTGTTTGTTTCAGAATTTTCATGTAGGGCTATCTGGTCGTAGCTGACATAATCTTGAACTAACAAGAGTTCTCTGTCGGCTGAATAGTTATCAATGAAATCTTCAAGTTATCCTCTGTGGGCTGAATAGTAATCAATGAAATCGTCAAGTTATCCTCTGTGGGCTGAATAGTTATCAATGAAATTGTCAAGTTATCCTCTGTGGGCTGAGTAGGTATCAATAAAATCGTCAAGTTATCCTCTGTGGGCTGAATAGTCATCAATGAAATCGTCAAGTTATCCTCTGTGGGCTGAATAGTTATTTCATAAAAGAAAATCGTCAAGTTATCCTCGTATTTCTTTCTTCTAGAAGTAAGTGCTTTACAGCAGCTGCAGGTTTTGGTTTCAGTTTTAGGTCGTAAATGACCTGCTTCCTGGTCTTTATTGTCTTCAGCAGTTTCTTTAGAAAACCCCACCAAGCGGTGTTTTATAGTAACATTTTACGACTCCATATTGTTTCTTTAAAAGACGTTCTTTCATGAAGATTTGTAGAAAAACACAATAAATCTCCCCTAACACAAAGGTCACCCCTATCGGTAAACAAAATAAACACGACTTTTGAAAGAGCGAATCAAGGATGATTTACCAGAATTGAGTCTATGGAACAGTAATACTGTTAAGTTACGACCAAATACTTCTTAATGTCCTCAATACGTTGACCTCTCCCATTTATCCAAAGAAGATTTTCTGTCAGGAATAGTTTATGTTCATCACTAAATTACTCTGTTTTTCTCCTGTACAAAAGTTGCTCAAATGGAACAAAAGAATAAAGCCTGATCCAGTAAGACAAACCATCTTGTGACACACATTTAGTCACAAACGGACATCTCAAGCTCCACTGACCTCACAAGATGAATAAAAAAAACGTAGGGTAAAAACAGTGGTTAATACACAAGACCATAGGTTAAAGACAAACTTTGAATATGTAGGATCATGCATGAACTTCAACAGTTCGTTTATAAGGTCATACATAGACTAAAGAGAAACATTGAATAAGAAGGATCATACATTAATGTCATGATGTAATATATATATACTACATATTGCATATAGTTGATGAGGGTCTTGGACTGATGGCAGATGTTTGGTTACTAGACTGACAACAGATACTGGATTTGTAGACTGTAAACATATTTTGGATTAGCTGACTGATGGCAGGTATTGGATCGGTAATCTTATGGTAGGTATGGGATTAGTATAGTGATGACAAATGTTGGATTAGTAGATTGATTACAAATATTAGATTAGTGGACTGATGGCAGGTGTTGGTTTAGAAAACTGATGAAAGATGTTGGATTAGAAGACTGACGGCAGTTGTTAGATTAGTAGACTGATGATAGATGTTGGATTAGTAGAGTGATGTTAAATATTGGATTAGTAGAGTGATGATAGATGTTGGATTAGTAGAGTGATGT